CTTGCCTCCACGCCGACGCCGAGGATGGCTCCAGCGGTCGGCGCAGATCTCACCAGCCTCGAGCTTATCCCTATCCCTAAGATTGACGCGCCAAGAGGCGATGCCAATCTTGGCGATTCGCCCTGAGAAACCAAGGGAATCCCTAAGATTGGCATCGTTCGTGATGAGGAGATGCCCAGCATAGGGATAGGGATATGCTCCAGGCTGGTAAAGATCTGCGTTCTCGGAGGACGCGCACCGCGGGGGGGGGGGCGATCCATGCGGGGGGGGGGGGGCAGCGAGGGCTGCAGAACAGGGGCCTCCCTTATGGGGCGGGGGGCCCTTCAGAGCCCAGGAGGGGGCCTCTTAAGGATGATTATGATGATGATGCTGATGCTGATGATGATGATGATGATGGTGATGATGATGATGACGATGCTGATGATGATGAGGAGGAGGAGGAGGCGGAGGAGGAGGATGAGGAGGAGGAGGATGAGGATGAGGATGAGGATGAGGATGATGATGGTGATGATGATGATGATGGTGATGATGGTGAGGAGGAGGAGGAGGAGGAGGCGGAGGAGGAGGATGAGGAGGAGGAGAAGGGGGCTGACGGATCGAAGAGGGCACCCGTCTTCCCCCCCCATCCGTCGCCCCCCACTGCAGTGGAGACCCATGCCAAGAAACACCCCGCTTGCCTCCAGGGTGCCCTGGGTTTCCTGGGCTCCGATGGTGCTGCTGCGGGAAGCGTGACGTACTCTCACACCAAGAAATCAGTGGACGCCCTGGGGTCTCAGGGTTGGTTTCGTTGAGCTCCTACTGTATCGACTGCATAATGGATTTATCCCAAAGTTGGTTTCTGTTGCCAGACCCATGAAAAATCGCGTCTCTCTTGCGGATTCGACGAGAAAATCAATGTTGGGGTCAGTCAAGTCTGTAGTCGATCCCCTACAGCCTTACAGTCGACCCGCATGGTAAGGATGGGAAACCTTCCCAAGGGTACCCTTGCATCCTTGCCTCATCGGTCCATCATTGGCCACTTTCGCTGGCCGCGCCCCGCTCGAGAAGCTTCGAAGTGGGCGTCCAGGGCCCTCGCATGCTTTTCTCGCGCATCCTTCTGATGCGGGCCGACTGTGGGTCGACCCTGCAGTCGATCCCCTCCCACTCGATCAATCCTCTGGTCAATCCTGCAGTCAATCCTGCAAGCAGATCCTGCAGGTCAATCCTGCAAGTCCATCCTGTAAGCCGATCCCCTCCTCGATCGACTCGCGCCCAACGTCTGCCGCCGGATCCGTCGCAGCGGCCCGCCGAGGGCCCGGCCAACGGCGCGCCGCCCCGCCGCCTCGCCGCGGGGCGCCGCGGGGCGCCGCGGGCCATGGCGGCGGCGCGGCCCGCGGCGGCGCCCGCCGAGCGCGTGCCCGCGGCGGCGGCGCGGGCGCTGGTCGGGTCCTCAACGGCGCGGGCGCCGGTCAGGGCCGCCTCCTCCTCCTCCTCCTCCTCCTCCTCCTCCGTCTCCACCCCCTCCTCCTCCTGCTGATCCTTCCTCCTTTTCTCCTTCCCTCCTCCTCCTGATACTCCTTCTCCTCCACCTCCTCCTCCTCTTCCATCTCCTCCTCCTCCCGCCCTTCCTCCTGCTCCTCCTTCTCCTCCCCCTCCTGGTCTTCCTCCTCCTCCTCCTCTTCCTCCTGATCCTTCCTTCTCCTCCTTTTCCTCCTCCCTCTCCGATCCTTCCTCCTCCTCCTTCTCCTCCTCCTCCTCCACCTCCTCCTCCTCCTCCTTCTCCTCCTCCTCCTATCAGGGGCAGCGCCAGGGGTGGAAAGGATCAGGGAGCGGGGGGGCCGAGGCTAGAGGTTCTCGGGCGCTTCCTGGGCTCTCGTCGGCTCTGCAGCCCCGGGATGCTGTCCAACGGCCGCTCCCGAGTCGGGCACGCCCCTCTGCAGGAGGAAAAGTCAGGGGAAGGGGAGGAGGGGGAGGAAGAGGAGGAGGAGGAGGAGGAGGAAGAGGAGGAGGAGGAGGAGGAGGAGGGGAAGGGGAGGAGGAAGAGGAGGGGAGCGGAGGAGGGAGGAGGAGGAGGAGGAGGAGGAGGAGGAGAGGAGGAGGAGGAGGAGGGAGGAGGAGGAGGAGGGGGAGGAGGAGGAGGAGGAGGAGGAGGAGGGGAGGGGAGGAGGAGGAGGAGGAGTGAGGAGGAGGAGAGGCAGGAGGAGGAGGAGGGGAAGGGGAGGGGAAGGGGAGGGGGTGGTGGGGGAGGAGGAGGAGGAGGAGGAGGAGGAGGAGGAGGAGGAGGAGGAAACGTCGGGGGACGATGTGTTTGACTATTTTTGACTATGGTCGAGCATTTGTTTGTTAATATTACTTTTCGTTGTTTTGCCCGGAATCCCCCTGTAGGAGGACATGCCCGACCTACTTCTGGGGGTGCCCGGATCGCGCCGAGCGGCCGCCGGAGAGCCGCGTTCTGACCCGAGAGGGGGACGCATCGTCCCCCAATCGCCCATTCGTCGCCGATGGCTCGATAGCCCCACGCGGCCAGGAGCGTGCGGGTTCGCCAAGTATCGGGGGCATATCGCCGATTTCGGCTTGACGTTTCCCCCCCAATGAATATGCGATCTGAGCTGCAGCGGGGTCCAGCAGAAGGGTCTTACCAGGTGCGGGGGACGGCGGACATGGCAATTTAGCAGTTGTATGTTGTCGACTGCCTTTCGCTTGTGCGCAGAGTGTCTTTGGGGTGTTGTCATGCACGGTAGAAGTTAGAGGTGTGTTGGACGGTTTAAATATATTTTTGGGCTTGTCTTGATGTTGCCAAGGTTAGTTTGCCCTAGCTTGTCAAAGTACATCGGGTTATCCATATTACGTTAGATACTTAACATATGATAAACATATGTATAATAGGTGTCTAGAACGGCTCGCTTTAATATATGTGTGCCTACCCGTGCCGTCTACATGTTTCTCGAGTCTGACCTCCGTTTGCTTACGTGTTGGTGACAGCATCGGTTTGGTTGATGGTTGGACTCGCGTGTACTCAGGCAGCACTTCGGTTATTGGCCTACCTGTGGCTTTCGTGTTGCTTGATCTTCACTGTCCTCCAGTGTGCAGTGATCTTGCTTTCGGCTTGCCTCTCCCGTGCCTCTGTAGGTTACGGCCATACTCCATGGATGCCGAGGGTGCCGGCGGCGCTTCACCGGCCGCTCTTTGGTGTGGGATGTTCGACGCTGAGTGTCAGCTGCTGTTCTTGCAGACTGCACGCCTGTTGCACGTGCATGCGTGTCCGCCGCCACTCTCTGTGCTCGTGAACCTTCTGGCCGCGCTGCCCAGAGGGCTGGTGAGATTTGCCTACTCAGGGATCGGGCTCTCGCCAGGGGCCGGACCGCATTCCTGTCTCGGAAAGGTGCGCTCGGCGCAGAGAATGCAAGTGGCGCTCCTGTCTCAGAAGTGCACTGTCGCCCACGTGCTTGTCACATTCCCGCCTCGCAGTGCAAAAGTTTATGTGGCGTTTTTCTTTCTTCTATTATCGCTCTAATGATGTATGTTTGCCCATGCTGCCTGTAACTTGCGCTTCCTCAGCAGAAGCAGCAGTCAAGCAGGCCCAGGATGAGGGCAATGGCTCCAGAGCGTCTGGAGCGCTCTCGCGGCGCCCGACATCTTCCGCACCCGCCAGCTCTCCGCGAATCCCGACTTGTCCCCATCCCAACTTGTCCTCATCCTGCCTCCGTCTTCAGCAGCAGGCGGTGCGCGGTGGTCCCCGTGGTCTCCTTGAGGGTTCGCGGGGCCTGCGAGGGCCTCGAGGCTCCCTCCCCTTGGGAGGAAGCCTCGCATTCGATTTCCGAATTTGTTTGGGATCTGCCCCTGCGGAATTTGATCTCCGAATTCACGCTCAGCCAGTCGACTGAGTCGATTGACTGTTCGTAGAGGCGCCCGAGACAGGAGGGAGGAGGAGGAGGAGGAGGAGGAGCAGGAGGAGAAGGAGGAGGAGGGAAAGGGGAGGAGGGGGAGATGAGGAGGAGGAGGAGAAGAGAGAGGAGGAGGAGGAAGGAGGAGAGGAGGAGGAGGAGGAGGGGAAAGAGAGGGGGGTGGAGGGGGAAGGGGGAGAGGAGGAGGAGGAGGAGGAGGAAGGAGGAGGAGGAGGAGGAGGAGGAGGAGGAGGAGGAGGAGGAGGAGGAGGAGGAGGAGGAGGAGAGGAGGAGGAGATGGAGGCGGAGGAGGAGGAGGAGGAGGAGGAGGAGGAGGAGGAGGAGGAGGAGGAGGGAGGAGGAGGAGGAGGAGGAGGAGGAGGAGGAGGAGGAGGAGGAGGAGAGAGGAGGAGGAGGAGGAGGAGGGAGGAGGGGAGGGAGTAAGGAGGAGGAGGAGGAGGAGGGGGAGGAGGAAGGGGGAGGAGGAGGAAGAGGGAGGAGGGGGAAGGGAGGAGGAGGAGGGGGAGGGGAGCGGAGGAGGGGAAGGGAGGGAGGAGGGGTAGGGGGGAGGGGAGGATGGGAGGGAAGGAAGGAGGAGAGGAGGAGGACGAGGAGGAGGAGGGAGGATGGAGGGAGGAGGAGGAGGAGGGGAGGTGGAGGAAAAGGAGGAGGAGGAGGAAAAGGAGGAGGAGGAAAGGATAGGAGGTTGAGGAGGAGGAGGAGGAAAAAGGAGAAAACGAAGAGGAGGAGGAGGAAAAGGAGAGGAGGGGAAAAGGAGGAGGAGGAGGAGGAGGAGGAGGAGGAAGGAGAGAGGAGGACGAGGAGGCGGAGAGGAGGACCGGGGCCCGCAGCCCCGCCGTGCCCCGGCCGCCCCTGGCTGCGCGCCGCCGCGCGCCTCCGCGCGCTGCCCGGCGCCGCGGCGGCGGCCGCCGCCGCCCTGGCCGCCGGCGCGGCACGCCATCTGCGGCGGGGGGGCCGCCGCGCCGCACGGGTGGGCCGCCGCCCTTCTGAAGAGGGGCGCCGTGGTCTGCGGCAGGGGCGGGTCGTCGTCGTTGTCGTCGTCAGTGTAGTCGTCGTCGTCGTCGTCGTCGTCGTCGTCGTCGTCGTCGTCGTCGTCGTCGTCGTCGTCGTCGTCGT